CAGTCGACCAAACTCATAGCTATTTCTTTAGAACTCCATTTTCTCTATCGATTGAGTACAAGAAACTGCCCATTTACCGATTTCAACTACCCAATAATGTGGTCAGAAATTTGCAATTTGGCCAATTTCATGAAAATTAAAAAACATGACTATTTCAAAATAAGGTCCAGAATGAACAATGCAGACATTCCTGGCTCTAAAATAACATTTTCTTCATTCATCAGTCATGTCTCCAGGCCCCTCTGATATTGCTCTTGCTTTCTATTTTGAATTTTTATTCAAACAAAAAATAGAAGACTTACTATTATGCAGACTACTGCAATACTGTAATAATTGTATAAATAACATCGACCCATTCATGGCTGCATATTAGAATGGCTAGTTGGACATTTATTGGACAATGACATCATTTGTTTACTTTTGAACATTGGCAAAAATCAAACATTTCCCCTACTTTGAGCTCCTTTTCCAGGTTCTTTTTATAATAAAATCAATCAAAATCACCTCTATTTCTATAATATGTTTTCCATTCTATCAAATGAGACCAAGAAAACGAGAATACAACTATAAATACTATACGAAAATAGACCACAAAGTCGGCATTTTAATAAAAAAAAACGGTCGGAGTTTTCTTTTTTCTCATTATGTACTGCGTGCTCCAGGATTTTTTTTATATGGTGCACACTGACCACACAGACCAATTCTCTCACATGTGGGCCTACCAGCTTTCTCCTGCTTGATTTGAAGCCGCTAGAATTTATGAGTATATATACGTCAAACACGGTACCTCGTAAGACGTATATATACGGCCGTGACAGTCAAAGGGTTAGTGAACAGAAAAAATGTAATTTTAGTGCCAGGAATGTCTGTCTTGTTTATTCTGAACCCTATTTGGAAATTGGTATCTTTTGAAATTTGTGTGAAATTGGCAAAATTGCCAATTTCTGACCACTTTGTTGGATAGTTGAAATCGGTAAATGAGTGGTTTCTTGTACTCATTTGATAGAAAAAAATGGAGTTCTAGCAAAATAGTTATGATTTTTGTCGACTGGTACATTGGAATAGGGCTCAAAGTGGGCGAAATTTCCAATGCGTAAACATCGTCGAGACCGTTAACTTCGCAAGAGCATAATTCCCTAAGTTTTCCATCAAATTTCATACTTTTGGTGTCATTATGATCAGGAAAAGATTCTCTATAATTTCATAAGGAAAAATAATTTTTTTTTTTGAAAAATTTCAGACACTGAGAACAAGTTTAGAAGAGGGACTGTCGACCCTGAAAGGGTTAATTTCCTTCTTTTACATACCCTTCAAAATCTGTCCACCAACCTTTGGAACTTACCTTCAGGATCTCCCAGAAGCACTGTATCATTCCACCAATTGCTCCTTTTCCTTCCTGCACCCACCCTCCTATATGCACTGCACACACTAACGCTGCATTCTTAACCCTTTCAGGGTCAGTCCCGGAATATTATGGCTTTGAAGCCAGGGTCAGTCCTGTAATACTACGCCAAAATTCTAGCAGCTTTCAATCTTTGCAGGAAAAAGCGGGAAGGCCTACATATGAGAGAATAGGGCTGCATGGTCAGTGTGCGCATGAGAAAAAAAAAAAAGTGCCTACTGTGTTTCTGGTGTAAAACAGAGATTTTACAGTGTATTTTCATACGGTTTTTCATGGTTGTATTCTCGGTTTCTTGTTCTCATTTGATAGAATGGGCGATACATTACAGAAACAGAGATGATTTTGAATAGTTTACAGGCTAAAAGTAGCTTGAAATTGAGCTCCAAGTAGCAGAAATGTTCGATTTTTGAAAATGTTCAGGAGTAAACAAATGTCACGGTCCAATATGCATCAACTGACTGGTCTAACATGCAGTCACAAATGGACTAACATTATTTATACAATTATTACCATTATGCAGTAGTCTGAATAACAGTAAATCTTGGATGGAGATGTGACTAATGAACAGAGAAAATCTTATTTTGGAGCCAGGAATGTCTATATTATTTAGTCTGGACTCTTTTTTGAAATTGGCTAGCTAAAGAGCTATGGGTTTGGTTGACGGGAACAATGAAATTGGCCAAAAATACGGCTCAAAGTGGGCGAAATCACCGATGTGTAAATATCACCGAGACCACTAACTTTGCAATAGCATAATTCCTTAAGTTTTCCATCAAATTTTGTACTTTTGGTTTCATTACATTCAGAAAAAGGATCTCTATCATTTCATGAGAATTTTTTTTTTTTTTAAAATTCTTCGACCCTAGGAGCAAGTTTGTGAGTAGGGGTCGCAACCCTCAAAGGGTTATATCTACCCCACACCTCTTCAACCTTCTCCTTGTTACCTTTATTTTCAGTAGCCCATCCTTCTCCATACAGCTGCTTATATCTTATCCTAGCTACCTCCTCCCTTAATTTATAAACTTTCACTTCTCTCTTACTCATTGATTTCATTCTTGTACCCCATCTACCTCTTACTCTCACTGTAGCTACAATTAATTAATGATCTGATATATCAGTTGCCTCTTTAAAAACCATGCACAACCAGGAGTTTACCCATCAACCTTTTATCCACCAATACACAGTGTAACAAACTGTCATTACACCCTATATCATATCTTGTGTACTTACTTATCCTCTTTTTCATAAAATATGTATTGCCAATTACCAAACCTTTTTCTATACAAGTGCAATTAAAGGCCCTCATTGTCACTTACCCTGGCACCCCAAACTTACCTACTATGCCCTCTACAACAGTTTCTCCCACTTTAGTACAGTGGTCCCTCGCTTTTCGTAGTTCTCGGCAATCATAAATTTCGCCAATCATAGGGGTATTTTCGTATAAACATGGACTCGCTTTTCATAGGCTGACTCGCGAATAGTAGTTCATCCGGGACGCGTACGCACGGTGTGAGACGGGGAGGCCTCCCTACCCAGCCAGTCTGGCATCGTTTACCAGTGAGTGAAGGTCCCCTCAAGTGCTCCTACGAAATATTTCATAATATTCCACTCATTTTAGTGCTTGCAAGTACTAAATAAGCTACCATGGCTCCAAAGAAAGCTCCTAGTGCCAAGCCTGTGGTAAAGAAGGTAAGAAATATGTACAGTGACAAAGTCTTGGGCCATTTTAGGGAAGTGCTAAAGAGACGCTAGAAACAGAGCTCTCTCCACAGTTATTTTGCGAGACAGGACTAGAGTGACTCTCAAGGTGGTCCTAGTGGCATTAAGAAACAGAGAAGAGAAGCAACCCCAGAGAAGCAATTGGTACCTGAGGTGTTGCTGGAAGGGGATTCCCCTTCCAAACTGTAAACAATCCAATCTCTCTCCTCCTCCAGTCTCCCATACACTAAGAAGAATCTCCAATAAAGGTAAGTGTTATGTTGTTAATGTTTCATTCATCATTTCCCATTGTATTGTTTATGTACTACATGTATATTTCATGTAAAAACTTTTTTTGTTTTAATACTTCTGGGTGTCAGGAACGGATTAATTGTATTTACATTATTTCTTATGGGGAAAATTGATTCGCAAACCATAAATTTTGTTTATAGTAGCTCCTCCAGGAACGGATTAATTACGAAAAACGAGGGACCACTGTATTTAGGTTCTCACTACAATTACTCTATCTCACTCCCTTAGCACTTGCTTAACATCTTTTAAAATTCTCTCTCTCTCTCTTCTCTCCTTTACACTCCTCTCTTCTCCAGGTACAGAAACACTTAGTATAACCCACTTTTTGCATCCCACCCTATTTTTCATCCACATAATCCTTGAATATATACATTTATATTCCCTCCTTTCCTTCTATAACTGGTCACTGAACATTACCACTATTCTTTCTTTAGCTCCGATTCTCTCAGATACACCTTACCTAATCCCATATTGCTCCCCACTGAAAATCTTCTCCCTTCAACTTTTGCACTACATCCATGCACATTCAACATTCAAACCCCCAAACTTTATAAAGTTCTTTTTACATTTAGTCATCTCTTATGACAAGCATGGCTTAAGGAGTAAGGATCCTCCTTCATTTTTCCACAGAGATGAAAGGAAATAAATAAAAACAAGAACTATTAAGAAAAATAGAAGAAAACTTAGATGAGAGTGCATGCACATGCGTGTACATGCATGAGTAGTGTGACCTAAGTGTAAGTAGAATTAGCAAGATGTACTTGTTATCTTGCATGTTTAAAAGTTGAAGAAAAGACATCAGCAATTCTACCACTGTAAAACAATTACAGGTTTCCATTTCACCCTCATCTGGCAGGACAGTAGAACCACCATGGGTGGCTGCTGTCTACAAACCTACTACCACAAGCTGGTTGTAGTCATATAACGAAGGAGTTTTTTTTTTTTATAACACACTGGCCATCTTCCACCGAGGCAGGGTGACCCAAAAAAAAAAACACTTTCATAATCATTCACACATAGGAACAAAAAAAGAAAAAAATACCATGACTGGAACAATACACAAATAACCCGCACATAGAAGAGAGGAGCTTACAACGACGTTTCAGTCCGACTTGAACCATTTACAAAGTCACACTAACAGAAAATAGTGATGAAGCCAGTTTATATAGGCGACACTTTCCTGCTCGCCTATATAAACTGGCTTCATTACTCTTTTCTGTTAGTGTGACGTCGTAAATGGTTCAAGTCAGACCGAAACGTCGTCATAAGCTCCTCTCTTCTATGTGCGGGTTATTTGTGTATTCACACAAAATCACTGTCTTTGCATAGGCGCCCAGATATGACAGTTTAAATGTCACTCCAAACAGCCAATATCCCAAACCCCTCCTTCAAAGTGCAGGCACTGTACTTCCCACCTCTAGGACTCAAGTCTGGCTAACTAGTTTCCCTGAATCCCTTCACAAAATATTACCCTGCTCACACTCCAACAGTTCATCAGGTCCCAAAAATCATTCGTCTCCATTCACTTCTATCTGTGTGTAAATATAAGAAAATATAAAATTAAATCCTTGCTTATCGAAGAACTAACCTTGCCTTCTGGACGTACTAAACAAGTGAGCAACTGTGGTATCCATGGGAGCCATTGTATGGCTGGTACACCAACACAATACTTGTCTACAGCATCACTCAAGCTTCCTGATTCATTATCATAACTCAGCAGCCACAGTACCTAATGAAAAAAAAAAATTTATTATGCAAGTTGAAGCATATTATCTGATTTATAAAGGATGAGGTTAATCAAAGAATTGATGAAGAAAAAAAGGCGAGTGGTGCATTGAGGTACAGTATATGTGGAGGCAAAAAATGTTATCTATGGAGGCAAAGAAGGGAATGTATGAAAGTATAGTAGTACCAACACTCTTTATGGATGTGAAGCTTGGGTTGTAAATGCTGCAGCAAGGAGGCAGTTGGAGGCAGTGGAGATGTCCTGTCTAAGAGCAACTGTGTGGTGTAAATATTACGCAGAAAATTCGGAGTGTGGAAATTAAGAGAAGGTGTGGAGTTAATAAAAGTATTAGTCAGAGGGCTGAAGAGGGTTTGTTGAGGTAGTTTGGTCATTTAGAGAGAATGGATCAAAGTAGAATGACATGGAGAGCGTATAAATCTGCAGGGGAAGGAAGGCGGGGTAGGGGTCATCCTCGAAAAGGTTGGAGGGATGGGGTAAAGGAGGTGTTGTGGGCGAGGGGCTTGGACTTCCAGTAAGCGTGCGTGAGCATGTTAGATAGGAGTGAATGGAGACAAATGGTATTTGGAACCTGACGATCTGTTGGAGTGTGAGCAGGGTAATATTTAGTGAAGGGATTCAGGGAAACCGGTTATTTTATATAACCGGACTTGAGTCCTGGAAATGGGAAGTACAATGCCTGCACTCTAAAGGAGGGGTTTGGGATATTGGCAGTTTGGAGAGATATATTGTGTATTTTTATACGTATATACCTCAAAACTGTTGTATTCTGGGCACCTCTGCAAAAACAGTGATTATGTGTGAGTGAGATGAAAGTGTTGAATGATGATGAAAGTATTTTCTTTTTGGGGATTTTCTTTCTGTTTGGGTCACCCTGCCTCAGTGGGAGATGGCCAACTTGTTGGGGGGTAAAAAAAAAAAAAAAAAAAAAAAACTTAGACATAAATTCTTTTGCTCTTTTAATCTTTTCATTTTTCTTCTTTTATATATTTATATTATTCAGTATCCAGGATCATAACCTCTATTGTATTTAGCTATGAATGCAAAGAACAATCATCATATATATCTTAACTTTCTGCAATTGGCTTTCATGAATCACTATACAAAAAGTGACCTCTCAGTTTAACCTCTGTCACACAAGTAATTGGACTTTTAACCCTCTGACTGTTTACGTCATATATATACGTCTTACGCGCCACTGTTTCTGACGTATTTATACGCATAAATTCTAGCAGCTTCAAATCACACGGGAGAAAGCTGGTAGGCCTACATGAGAGAGAATGGGTCTGAGTGGTGGGTGTGCACCCTGTGAAAAAAATCTGGGACTCGGTGATGCATTGTGGGAACGCCATCTTGATAGTCCATTTTCACCATGCCTCGCAGTAAGAAGTACCTCACTCCTCGGCAGATTGGAGGTCTTTTGTTCCCAAGTGATAGCTCTAACAGCGATGGAAGTGTCAGTGAAAGTAAATTCCATGGTTTTCAAGCGGGTGTGACCGAAAAAAGTGCCCAGGATAACGTAATTAGTGATGAAAACCCAGATGACCCACGACCTTCCACCTCTGGTGCTGGGCCGGCTCGTTCACATTCACGTTCCCCTGTACCAGGACGAAAGAGGAAACTATTTGCCCGTGTACAAGACTCAGAAGTGAGCAGTGAAAGTGATAGTGATAGTGATTTCAAAGTTATTGAAAGCAGTTCTAGTTGTGACAGTGAGGGTGAATATTCCCCAGTGAAGCAGCAGTATATACGACGTAGCATGCGGTCTCGTAGTGTTTCATATGCTGTTCCAAGGGGAAGGAGTAAATCTCGGAGCACATCCTGTAGCCCTACACCATGACCTGATAGTGAAGATGATGATATTGTTACGATGGCTGTGAATGATGTGAGTGAGACAGCAGGTGGTGGGTGGTGGTGATGGTGGTGGTGGTGATAGTGATGGTGGCATGAGTCATGTGGCACTGGCAGTGGGCCACGCTACTACCCACGCTGCTGACTCAGCACAACCAGCCTCATCCAACCCTACACTCTCACAACCTGCACAACCACAACCACGTTTCAATATCCAGAACCCACCAGCAGACTGCATCTGGGATTGGCAGGAAGGTGACGAGTTTGTTCCCAGTCCCCATGACTTTGATGAAACACAAAGTGGAACACGGCCATCATGTACACTTGGGAATAATGGTACTGAACTGGAATGCTTTCAGTTATTCTTCGATGAACCCCTGATGGACATTTGTCAGGGAAACCAACGCATACTATGAGTACACTATGGCAAATGCAATTCTCTCACCAAGATCACAGCTACACCAGTGGAAGGACAACTGTGGCAGAGATGTACAGTGGACCCCCGGCTTACGATATTATTGCATTCCGGAAGTATGTTCAGGTGCCACTGCTGAACGAATTTGTTCCCATAAGGAATATTGTGAATTAGATTAGTCCATTTCAGACCCCCAAACATACACGTACAAATGCACTTACATAAGATACACTTACATAATTGGTCGCATTGGGAGCTGATCGTAAAGCGGGGGTCCACTGTACCTGTTTTTTGCCACAATTATACTTATGCCACAGTGTGTATAAACACACTGTCACCACATACTGGGCAACAAAATGCCTGATTTCAACCCCAGGTTTTAGTGACATTATAGGTGTGAATCGTTTCTCGATACTGTTACATATGTTACACTTTTCAGACAAAACAAGGCCTGATAGAAGCAACAGGTTACATAATTTCAGAAATGTGTTTATGTACCTGAAACATAAGTGTTGCATGTATTTTATCCCTTCAGGAAGCTTGTTATTGACGAGTCTTTGATTTTATTCAAGGGAAGCCTCTCACTCAAGCAATACATACCAAGCAAGAGGAAACGCTTTGGTATAAAGTTATCTGTACTGTGTGATTGCAAAAGTGGTCTCGTTTTGGATACCAATGTGTACACTGGCAGTAATACATTGAGAGATACCAGGAAGTTATTAGGTATCGCTGGTGATGTGGTTTGAACAATGATGGAACCATATCTAGGTAAGGGGCATATATTATTTACTGATAACTGGTACACAAGCCCCACACTCAGTGATTTCTTGCGAGTGAACCTGACAGACGTGTGTGGCACAGTGCGTGGTAATCATAAACATATGCCAAGGTTCGACGCTGGCACTCGCAGAGGTGAGGTGCAGGCCTTTGCTGCCAAATGACATCATGGCATTTTGGTGGCATGACAAACATGATGTCACATTGTTGACATCAATTCACCGAAACGAAATGGCACATACTGGCAGGCACAATAGAGAGACCAATGAACCCATTCTAAAACCTGCAGCTGTCATGGACTCCAACCTCAATATGCACTTAGTGGACAAATGTGACATGCAGACTGGGTTTGCTGATTATGTATGTAAGAGTTATAAGTGGTATATAAAACTTTTTTTCCATCTTGTTGATATTTCCATGCTAAATGCTTATAACATATACAAGTTGAGGACCAACAACAAACCAAAATATGGTGAATTTTGTTTGTCAGTCATCAGACAAATAATCGCCAAGTACCAAGGAGCAACACCTGCAATAGACCAGCGCCCACAAAATTACCAACACACACCATCTCGTTTGAGGCCTGGTGATCACTACCCCATACAACTGCCTCCTACTGCTTTCTAGAAAAGTGCTCAGAAGAGGTGTTTAGTATGTGGACATACCACAAAACGCCCACAAACATGCAGAGACACTCGTTTTATGTGTGAGGAGTGTCAAGTGCCCCTCTGCATATACCCATGTTTCAAAGAGTTCCACAAGCTGCAGCAGTTCTAGGAAAGTGTTCAGTGACTGTACATATGTATATATATTATGGAACAATAGTAATAAACAATGTTTTGTATTGTTTGTGTAAAAAGTTTTATACACAAACTAATAGTGATAATGTTCGTTCAGTTATTGTGTTGTAAACAATGAGTGTATATTTGAACAATGCACCTTACTTTGGTCTCACAGGCCACATAAGTTACTTAGAAAAGAAAAATATTGGAAAATACAAGAAACCTTCGAATTGGAGTAAATAAAAGAATACCGGGTGGGTGGCATTCGCTGCTGTTGCCATACACCGCTCATTTTCTGCCAACTTTGCGCCTCTGTATCTCGGTAAGTACTGATGGGAATTTTTTTTTTTTAGGCTTAAAATACTCAGTAAAATAGTCCTAACATTTTGGTAAGAAAAAATCATTTTTTTTTTTAATATTTTGCGACACAGAATAACAGTTTCAGAAAGGGGCCTGCGACAGTCAAAGGGTAAGTCGCTTTTAAGCCCAGTATGACCATCTGTTTATCTCTTGTGAGTGCAAGCACACTTATGTCAACATTTGACACACAGGCTCCCAGTACAGTAAACACTCGACAGGCTCCCAGCACCATCCTGAGACCCGACCCAGGAAAGACTACACAAGCTCCCAGCACCAACCCGAGAGCAAACACATCAGCCGCTTCCCACCAAGGCAGGGTGACCCGAAAAAGAAGAAACACTTTCATCCTGCAGAATATGGAAGTATGCCAGCGCAAAACTGAAGGTCGGGCTGCACTTAACATAATCCTGATTTTGACCACTTTGAGGACTATTGTAGGCCAATTCCAGTGCCCAATCCAACCCAATTCCTGGCTATTTCACTCATGCCTTCCATTCTATTTAATGCACAATTCAACTATCAGAACTACCCTATAAAATGCCCAGAAATTGGCAATTATGCCAATTTTACACAAAATTCAATCAATTTCAAAATAAGCACTAGTCATTCCAGCCACTAAGGTAGCCTTTCCTTTGTTGATTACTCATGATCCCAGGCCTCTCCTTCATTCTGAATCCATTAACACACTAAAATCAAAGTTTTACCTTATTTCTTGGCCAAAAAAATATAACCAGGGATAATTGGTCTTGGTTAAGGACTCTCAATAATTGAAGCAGATCTAGTAACGATCCATAAAACAG